TTAATCTTAAACTACATAGTAATCTTAAACTTAATTTTAATTTTAATCTTAAACTAAATCTTAATCTTAAACTTAATTTTAATCTAAATCTTAAAGTAAGTTCATATTAATCTTAATCTTAAAATTAAGGAATATTTAGTGATTGTTGCCTCGGTGGCAAATCCCTACAAATTGCATCCCGGAAGGAGTTTCCTCTGGTGGTTTCACCACATTCATTTTCTTGTCTTTCTTCAATGGAAATTTCTGGCGAAAATTCCAAATCACTCTCGTTTGCAATATTATGCAAGACGCAACACGCTTGATAAAGTGGCACAACTTCCTACTACCCCTTAGTTTACAATAGTACAACTGCCTAAATCGCTGCTTAAGTAGTCCAAATGTGTTGCTCAATTGCAACGCGACCGGAGCTTAGCTTCACATTGAAGTTTTTCTGCGCAGGTGTCAAGTGACCATTATCCTTGTACGGTGTAATTACGTACTGAGTGCATGGATAGGCAGAGTCTCCTAGTAAGTAGTAATCTGTAAGATTAAAAACAATAGGGTATATTAACGTTTATATAGGTTTCAAAATTAAGTGTCATTGACATTGGTTATTTTGCTACACAAAATAGATCTTTCATCTTAAATTCAAAGATGAACATATTACAATCATGCAGATAAGTATTGCAGCAGTAACTTATGTTATACATATGTACATATGTCAGTCAAAAATTAAGTTGCTTTAATAAATTATTACCTCCACAATACGATGACAATTTTTGGAAAATAGGCGAGTTCTGGAAAACCCAACTGTCATGACTAGATCCGGGAAAGCCAACAAATATATTCATAAATTTTTTGTTTTCATTGCAAATCGCCTGCATGGTAAGGGTGATGTTGCCTTTCCGGTCAATGTAGTCATCTTTCTGCTCAGCTGGAGGATCGATGACGATATGCGTTCCATCAATGCAACCTATATTTAAGGATATGTTTATATATTAAGTAATATATTTATAAGCACAAAATATGTGAAGTGACCTAGACCACTTTAAAAATTATAGCCACAATTATGGTTTTTAGCACTTACCGATTGCTTTTGCAAAGCCGCATTTTCTGCTAAAAACGAATGCCGACTCTCGTTTCTTGTCCTCAGTAGGCCATCGTGTCTCCTCTGGACTCAAACTACTAATGAACATTGTCGTCCTATTGACAATGCGAGAAACACTCGACAGCGATATGTTGAAACGGTTGGATAAATCGCGAAAGCTGCATGCCTCATGACCGGCAAACCATAAGAAAACCGCCATGTTTGTCGTCCCTGGTAACTGCTTATCGACTCGAAGACTCTTATAAATATCACTTTCCTCAAATTTAGCAGATAAATTTAAAAACAGCTCCTTCGATATGCGGAAGTGCATCTTGAATTTTGCCTCCGTATAATTAGGCACTACTTCCTCCAAGTAGTTCTTAATACTGCTCCTCTTTTTCCTCTCCCCATCCCTCAATAGCTCCTCCAATATATTATCATCTTCGCTATCAGAATGATCCATAATTATTTGGTATATCTCGTCATCATCGAATCATCTGAATCACTTGATGTTTCCATTAGCTCTGTCACTGTTGCGCTTAAAACGGCTCCGTCATCTTCAGACGAACAAGCACTTGCGCCATTTACCTAGAAAATATGTCAGAAGGATTAGAACGACCGACGTCCAATTTACAGACCACTGGATGCTCATTTGTAAATTAGGCATAAGTAAATAATAGAGCTCGTAGAGGTAATTCAACAACCTTTCTTATGATATGTATATATATACATAATATATATACATATATTACTAATAAAACTAAAAAATCAAAGTTATGGCCATTGTTTTAATAATAGGGTATGGTTTTCTAAAAAAAAATACGTAATTAACTATATTAAAAGATATGATTATTATTTTTTATTATAAAAGTATACACATTTCAAATTTCGTCCAAAATTTATAAAAATTCAACAAACTTTAACAATTACAGCCACGGTGTTGAGCATTTTCTCCCATATAAAGTACGCTCCACAATTACTTTTATATGGAGGAAAATGCCTAGCACCTTTGCACCCAAAGCTCAGAAATTTGCAAATACCGTATTTCAAACCGAAATTATTAATAAATTAGCGCACAGATATAGTAACTTTTTTTGTTTAATGAAGCGTAGACTCTTGTCTACAAGTGTCAGTGAAAGTTTTTTGATTCGGGTCAAGCGTTTAGGCTCAGCAACCCAAAATCGTTGTACAAATAACTAAAGCGTACCCGTAAATAATTCAAACCGAACTTATCAATAAAATTAGTGCTCGGTAATTCTGTAGTTTAGTTTTAAATTAAACTTCAATACCCGTATAGGTATGTTGAATTTTTTTTAATCGGGTCACGCATTTTTACAATCTACACCGTACCACCGCACCAAAGTTAAATTTTAGTTGAACTATGCATTCGGTTGCAAGAACAACTCATTTTCGCTTTATATTGAACTATACATTCGTTTACAAGCGTGAACACAACTCAATTTATTATATATATAAGCCCTTGGAGAAACTATGCTTACCACGTTCGTGTGTCCAGCCATGTTAGCTGCATCTCCTGCCGAATTTGCCGCTGCACCATCGGAATAACAAGCATTCGCAAAATTAACCTATGAACAATTTTGTTATAACCTTTTTTCCACAAAATGTAAGCTATCATACTTACTTCTCCAGATCCAGTGATTTATCGATCTCCAGATCCAGCCGAAATTGCACCCAAGGGATGGGTTGTAGCTCCACCAGAAGCACCACAAATTCTTTCATCACTAATCTGCAAATAAACAAAATCGTATGTACAAAACACATTCACACAAGCACAAGCACAATAAGCACTTACCATATCAATTATTCTTTTGCCTCCTTCCATTTTTAATTCACCTGTTTTAGTTTTTAGATAATTTTAACTTTTCCACAATTCTTTTATTTATTTTTCCAGTCAGCTGTCAGTTGAGTTTGACACTATTCAAGATTTTGCCAACAAAAATTCGTCTGACTAAATCTGACTACTTCGGACTGATGAGAGTCACTCTCACTGAGTGTTGCTCTCTCATTTTTGCTGTCATTTCCGAGTTTTTCTGACTATTTCTGGGAGATAAGGAACGCTCCCATTAAAAACATATCGATGGACCTGTGCAATAACGACACAATTCAAAATTCAAAAAATAAAAACTGTTACTACTCTTAAGCGGCTCATATCTCTAATCCTTGTTGAATCAATGTCTAATCTTTTGTAACTACCTTAGCAATCCTTACTGCTTCCTTTAGTAAGGGATGGATATGGATTATACAAGGATTAGAGACAAGAGCCACTTAACAGTAGTAACAGTTTTTATTTGAATTTTTAATTGTGTCGTTATTGCACAGGAACATCGATATGTACATACAAAAAATTTACTCTTTGTCGCGTATGTCCCTTTGGCAGTTGGGGCTTCATATGTACATACTTAAAGGAGTCATGGAAAACAGAAAATGCAGTTTTACTACACTTGAACTTTAATTAGGTATATATTATTAGCACCGAAAATTGTTGAGGATATATGCAAAAGTTTTAATTTTAATTATTTTCTGCTATTTTTTATAAAAACATAGTTTATACTAACTACAACAAAAAATGTAAAAATAAAATTTCCAAGCTTTGTGAAAAACTCTGGAAAATTAAATAAATAAGTAACTATCTAATCAGATAGTTAGGAAAATTTTCAAAATGCAGTTTTCTAGCCCATCCAATTTTAGTAAAATAAATTGCAAGTTTCAAATTGCTAAAAAATTGCTTTGATTTTTGAAAATTTTTTCACAATTTTTCTAAAACATCTGATTAGATAGTTGCAGCTTTTTATGCAAATTTATTGAATTTTTCTGAGTTTTTCACACAGTTTCAAAATTATATTTTTTTATGTTTTTTATTGTAGAATAAGCTATATTTTTATAATTTATTTGCGGAAAAAATAAAATAAAAAATTTTGCATACATTGTGAAAAATTATCTGTACCAACAATCCTGCAAAGCAACTTACAGCATGATGTTTTTCAAAAATTGAAGGGCAGTTTTTCAAAATGCTAATAGAATCGTTCGATGCCAAAAGATTAATGGTATGCGTCGCGCATTTAATGTGCTTTGGAAGACAACTTTCATATAAATGACTTGAAAAATAGCTTGACTCAAATACGTCTTCCTCTGAAATGTTCTCGACTCCAAATTCTTTAAATGCTTTTATAAAATTAGATCCGTTATCGGTTATAGTGGCTATTACGTTATTACAATTTAGTCCAAAGTTAGCACATAATAATATCGTTAATTTTATCGTAAGAATGGGAACCTTTAAAACGGTGACAAGCCAGTGCAACAGACTTCCTCTCGAAAGAATTTGATAGCCAATGGCACGTGTAGCCAAAAAAACTGCGATGTTTGGTAGACCACACATCGGCGGTAGTACAAAAATACGATTGATTTTTCAGCTCACTTTTAATTTTTACTATCATTGATTTATAACAATCATCAATTCGTTTTGTAGCCGTTGTCCTAGTCATTAATTTTGCTTGGGGATTCGAAAATGTAACAAACTGTCTAAAGGTGTTATCTTTCACAATAGATATTGGAAGCATGTTATTCGCGATAACTTTTACTGTAAGGTTTTGAAATATGGTATCGCTATATTGTATTTTTCTTGAACTGTAAGACTTAAATTGCTCATATTCTGCTAATTGTTGAGGATGCTTTATCCGTAAATGGCGTACGAAATTCGAAGTCACTTGAAATGATCCTTGTAGTTTAGTCGTGCAAAAGCGACATTTTACAAGTGCACCCCCACGTTGCTTGTGATAGTCAGTACTATCTAGCTGTATACAAAAAGGAAGGAAAATATTATATACTGTTTCTTGGTGTTTATTATTGTTATTAATATTATTATTACTATTATTATTGCTACAACTACTACTACACTTACTACTAATACATATTATTACTATTATCTATATATATAATTCGCGAATGCATTTTTTGTTAATGCCATCAGATCAATCGAAATTGTTTTGAAAAGGTTTTATCTCTAAAGTACATATACATATATAAGAGTGTTGCCCCATGTCAATGTTAATTCATCAGGTGATTGAAATATGTAGCACAATGTCGGTCCAAAGAGATTTAAAAAGGGTTTAGTTCGAATATACTTTTGAAGAGGATTCCATATGTTTGAAAAGTCGAAATTAGTTAACTTATACACAAGATATTGGAAACATAGAGATATGAATGAAAACGTTTGAGAATATTTTGATTATGGCGGCCACTGAAACTGTATATGGGTCGTTCTTAAAAAACATGACCATTCTGAATTTTGTAATTTTTAAAAATTAAGTTGGCCAAATATGTTTATAATTGGCCTCATGTGGTTACGGATGGTATCAACAATAGGAATCCATAACCAGCAGTATTTTTTTGAATTTTTGGAGTTTTTGGAGTTAATAAGTCACAGAGTGGACCGGTAACAGAGGGGACAAATTAACTCAAAAATACCATATTTTAGCTTTTTATTCGAATTTTGGATAATTTATTTGTCCACTTAATTAATGTACATAAAATATTTATAAAAAAATTATAAAATAAATAAAAAATCACTTTACTCACCGTTTTTCAACAGTAACAGAGTTGACACTGAATAAGGGTACGTACCCGGCATACAATTGGGTTCCTTACTCAACAACGCACTAAATAAGACTGAACAGTTCAAAACACATTTTGTTGATTTTAGCTAAGTTATGATGGAGAAGCATAAGAGAAATATACGCGTCATAACGTTTAACAAACATTTTTCAATAAAATGAGTGGACGTAACAGAGGGGACCAAAACCTGGGGACACAAATTTTCTTCATAAAAATTATACAAAAAAATTATTTTTCATCATTCTTTTCTATATATGGTATTAATATACACAAACTGAATAACAAAAATTGTAAATATTATTTTTTTTCAATTTTATTTCAACTGAAAATAACTATTAAATTTTTATAAATTGGCTCGGGACACAGGTTTTTGCTAAACCTTTGACATTGAAAATATTTTTTAAGTTATTTTCAGATAATTAATTATTTTTTTTTTATAATATAGTTACGTAGAATCGATAATAATTTATAAAAATGCAGATATTTTTCTATTTTCTTTTTGAAGAAACAAAATATAAAATAGTAAAGTCTGGGGACACCAATTGGTCATGTTTTTTAAGAACGACCCATATATGTACATACATATATGGGTATTGTATGTACAACGGCGCACATGAAATTTCATTGACTAAGTGCGTACATATCATTAAATCGTTAATAGTACCCGTTAGATATGAGTCGGGGGCTAATAGATCTCCATTAGTACCCGTATGAGACTAGTTGCGACTAATTAATACCCAATTGTACCCGATCGAGAGTAATCTCGGACTACTCTCTTAAGAGATTAGTCGCACAATTTCTTGCAGGTGTGTACACGCTATACACATACATGTTATGTTCAAAGTTAAAACTTTTTCTTATCGGTGATTAAAATTAGAGAGACCGAACCATGCGAGACCCCCTCCTTACTCAGAAAGGACTGGACGAATTTCCATGAAATTTAGCACACTTAAAATATTTTTTAGGATTTTGAATACTGGTCTAAACAGTTAAATTAAATTTTAACGTCATATGTGTTCACTAGTTACTAATTTTAGAAACTATAATAAACAATTTGAATATTGATGAAGTAATTT